TTTATTGCTCTCTCTCACACACACACACATGTTGCTCTCTCTCTCACACACACACACATGTTGCTCTCTCTCTCTCTCACACACACACATATGTAGCTCTCTAGTACACAGTACACTAAACCGCTTCCCGTCTCTCTCTTTTTTTAACAAGATCCCCCTTCCCATCTCTCTCTCAAACACACACATGACGTAGGTACACTAACCCCTCTTCTCATCTCTCTCTCTCTCTCTCTCTCTCTCTAAGTTCGAGTTCCTTATCTTAACGCCTTCACGTGCTAGGCCTCCTTTCCCAACTCTTTAACTATTGTATACAACTCCCAACGGCCCATAAAATGTTGCCAAGCAGTGGAATTCTTTCCTTTCATTTAATTTAATTTTTCAAATGTGAGTTTGTCTATGCATCTGAGATCTTGCACATTGGTATGATTTGGAGCAGGACAAAAGGTGGGTTTTTGGCAGGAGCATTCGTGTACCTTCCTTCCAAATTTTTATACTTTTAACCTCCAACACCCCATAAACCACATTATTATAACGTAAGATCTTTGTCACCCCCTCGTGATAGACCTTGGATAAAGCAATTTTATTTATTTATTTAACAATAACCTTCTTATCTTTGACCGGACCATAAGAGTCTTTGACACACCTTGGTTCATGTAATATTAAATGGAAATATATACAATAGGTAGGGGTGGCAATGGTCCAGGTGGCCAGGCCCGGCCCGGACCAAAAAAATAGAGCTTGGGCCACAAAATATGGCCCGAGGACTAGGCCTAGCCAGGCCACCATAGACATGACCTGGCCCTTATTTTTCTTTTCTTTTTTTTTACATTGTTTTCTATTAGTTTTACTAGGCTCGGCTCGTTGCCAGCACTAATAGGACTATTTAACTTTTTTATAAGGCGGTCACGATCATTTCTGGCTATTAGATTTGAAATCGAAAGGCTGAGAGTGTGTGATTGATTGGGCTCAAAGTTTAAAGAAAATTTTTTCGAACACCATAGTGGCTAGAATTTGATGGGACCTCTTTGTTCTAAAAGTAGATGGTCTTACTGTATACAATCCCATATGAAATTCCCTTGGCCCTCTACTAACCCATATAAGCTATATTAAATATAACACATAGAGCTTTTGATTAATAAGATATTGTTTTATAAAGACATTTCTAGGATTAGTTGTGACCACCTTGTTCTAAAGATAGATGGTCTTATTATATACAATCACATATGAAATTCCCTTAACCCTCTATTAGCCCACATAGGTTATGTACTATAAGCTATATTTAATAGAACACATAGCTTTTGATTAATGAGATATTGTTTTGTTAAGACATTTCTAATCCACATAGTTAATTTATGATGTACTGTGAGCTATATTAAAGAGAACATATTTAAGTTTTGATTAATAAGATATTGTTTCATTAAGACAATTACTTGGGTTTATGCACTTAAGTAGAATATGTAAGAAGAGTATATAATTAATAAGATATTGTTTTATTAAGACATTTCTAACCCACATAGTTTAGATGTACTATGAGTTATATTAAAGAGAACATATAGAGCTTTTGATTAATAAGATATTGTTTTATTAAGACAATTACTTGGGTTTGTGCCCTTAAATAGAATATGTATGAGGAGTATATAATTACCTGCATGCGCACAACACGGCATGTGACTGGAGATTTGGGCTGGGCCCCACAAGAGGGTTTACATGATCAAACAGTTCATATTTTGATGGATTCGAATTGAGGTCTAAGTCAAATGGGCCGTCCTGGCCGTCCATTTTGAGACTTTATGCTTTGCAATTTGGACGGGATGGAGTATGAATTTTCTCAAACTCGAGAATGACCAAACCGGTGGTCCAATCAACGACTTGGTGTCTTGGCCAATCAAATTCAAACTAAAAATTGATTTTAGTAAAAAATCAATCAAAATTAATGTTTGATCAGTTTTGACTAGTCGAACCAGCCGTTTTTAATCCGTTGGACCAACTAATAAAGTTGGACAAATTTTTAATATATTTTATATTTTTATAAGAAATTTATCAACATACACCTAACTTTTGAACTATTTAATATTATTCCAAGTCTAAATCATGTATATTATGATGGATATTTTGAAATTAAATAAAAAAAAATGGCTAAAATGTTAAATAGTTAATTTAAGTATATTTTGACAAGGACGTAGTTAGCATGCAGCCAAAGCCGCACATGTAGAAATGCGGGGCCTTTTGAAATAGAATTTGATCCTAATTTTTAGAAAATATATAATCTTTAACATGAAGATCATAAATATGAAATAATAAATAAATTTTGAAAATTAAAATAATAAATCTATTAAAAAAACATTTGGACCGTTAGTTTTACTTGTTTTTAGATAGACCACCTATTTGCATCTATCTTTAATATGGATGTGTTATACCTCTGGACTGCATATTATACAAATGCGGTCCAACCCGCATGAAACAATTGCTCTTTTGACAAACTTCACTATTTTTAAATTATTATAGCTATTTTCTTTTTCTTTTTTCAAAAATTTGGTTCATCCAGTTTGACCATTTATTAGATTGGTTTGGCTAGATCAAACCTCTCATTGGTTTAGCATCATATGATTTCAAAGTATAATAGGGAGATTGAGGATGAGATATTCAGAAAATGTCGTATATAAAATTAGAGGTGGGTAGGTGAAGTGGAGATCAACTTCTAGAGTTTTATGTGATCGACATATATCAATGAAATGGAAAGAAATTTTATAGGATGGTTGTAAGATCAACTATACCTTATAGGACGGAATGTTGGCCATTCAAGAAACAACATATGAGTGTAGCTGAGATGAGGATGTTAAAATGAATGAGTGGCAAGATAAAAATGATAGAATTCATAACGAACACATATGAGGAAACTTACGGGTAGTTCCAATAGACGATAAGATGAGTGAAAATAGACATAGGTTAGCTATATGCAGCATCAACTAGAACAATATTGGTTAAGACGGAAGATTTGGTTCAAATAGAAGGTTCTACAAGGGTAAGAAGAATGTCTAAAAGGACATGGATGGAAGTAGTAAGAAAAGATATGGCGATTTATGGCCTGATTGAGGATAGGATGATAGAGCGGAACGGTGTAACATGATTCATAAATCCGAACCCAAATAGTTGGAATAAGAATCGGATAACAATGATAATGAAGATAATGATTTTGAGATATAAATAGGGAATAAGTTCGTACAATTGTGGGCATGATCTCTTGACCAAATTAAGTAAATCACACTCTACACTCAATGTCATATCTCTTCTCTTTAGCTCTAAGTCGATCGCCTTCATGTCATAATGGTTCTCTCCTATAGGAATAACGTGGTACTCTTTTTTTTATTCTTTTTCAACGCTAACTTAAATTTCATCATATCAAATGTACAATGAGATTCATGCAAAAAGAATTAAAGAAGCTGCACAAAAAAGCCTTAATACACCTCAACACTGTTAAGAGTACAAAAGAGATGAAGGAATTAGGGTCATGGTGTTCCAATCTTCCGGACCACCATGAGAAAAATTTATAGAATCCTCCATTCCACCCCCTGAATTCAATGTGCTATTTGAAAAGATCCAAATTTTATATACAATTTATTCAAAAGACTCCCTCGTATACCCTTAGCTTCTTTCACTTTCTTGTTCTGTGCTATACTGAAATGTCCCCGGCTTGGCTAATTAGCCTCCATCATTCCGTTGTGATCATCATCATCATCCGAGCTTTATTCCAACTAATTGTTCTGCATTGTTATTTGTCTTTCTATTAAAATGGCGGAAGACTAAGCGCTCGTTCCATGACTATTCCTATCTTTAATAAGGAGCATGTGGATGAGATGATCTTTGCAAAAAATCCAGAGCTCATGGCCGTCTGATCTATGACAAGGAAGCCAGTGATCCTATGCTTGATGGTGAACCGATCTTTGATAAAGAACCAATCTATGGTGAAGAACAAGATTTTGTTGATGGTCTGATCTATGATCTTCTAGGTGAACCAATTTTTGATGAAGAACCATTGGAAGAAGTTGAGAAAATTTGGAACCCTTCTCTTGGGCGTAGTGATGAGATTTTGAAAAGTTTGATGAAACCTTAGATGACGAGGTGAACCAGGACGAGATAGTCCTTCTATTTGTGGTAGAAGCCATGGATGGAAACATGGGTTTGATGCATACCTGGAGGCTGCAGGCAACTCTGATTTGTATAAAGAACAAGTCATGAATAGTGGGCATTCAAGATTGATTAGGAATTTAGGACTTCAGAAGTTGCAAAGGTA